TCAATTTGAAAGTTCACTGCTATGTGTTCCAGCAGTCCAGATGGTACCAGCGTTCTCTGTTCTGTGTTGATGGTTCTTCGACAGGCTTAACTCAAATGAACCAGATGTCTTGAGTCCTTTGGCTTGGTCCTTTAAAACTTCAAACTGAATCAATGGAATCATTCCTGCCACAGACCAGCTTTACTTCTCTCTCCCAATACTGAATACAGTTTACTCTCAGGCTGACACAGAAGAGATGTATCCAATCCTTAAATCTTGTTTGTTTTCACAACAAAACCAGGGGTTATAATGCCTTCTGTGTTAAGGTTTTGACATATCAAATTCCACTGAGAAGTTCATCCAAACACAACTGCTATCCAAACACATGAGAAACCACAAGTAAGAAATGTAAGTTATTATTTTATAATCAAACCATTATTATTGAATTTGTAAGCATATTTCACACACTTTAATGTTTTTATAGAGTATGAGTTCATTATTTGTTTAAGAGATTAATATATTTTACTCGCATTGAAGCACTTTAAACATTTAATGACTCTGATCCTCCTTTAACTGTCAGAACAGCTGTGCAGCTGGGGGCGGAGCTTTGATTCAGAACAGCTGCAGTGAGGGCTGTGCAGCTGGGGGCGGAGCTTTGATTGAGAACAGCTGCAGTGAGCAGGCTGTGCAGCTAGGGGCGGAGCTTTGATTCAGAACAGCTGCAGTGAGCAGACAGCTGGGGGCGGAGCTTTGATTCAGAACAGCTGCAGTGAGCAGACAGCTGGGGGCGGAGCTTTGATTCAGAACAGCTGCAGTGAGCAGACAGCTGGGGGCGGAGCTTTGATTCAGAACAGCTGCAGTGAGCAGACAGCTGGGGGCGGAGCTTTGATGCACGAGTAGCGATAACACCTCTGTGTAGTCTACACTCATGTATCCTCGCTCTCGTCTCCTCTGGAAGCCTCGCCCTCCTCTCTCCTCAACTCCTCTCGCCTCGAGAGGAGTGGAGGGACATTGGGATGAACCTCCCACTTCCAGTCTGTAAGCCAGGCCTAAACTACATCCTGAGCTTCTATGTTCACATCAATAGAAATCTGTATCAATCTTCTCATTTCACTGTCTGGAGGAAAGCAAACAATTTGTTATACTTATTTTGTTTCCTTCTTGTTTAACTATTTCTCTGCACTGTGCACTAATCCTGATGGATCTTTGTGTCGTCACCATCCCACAGCAGCCACAAGAAACTGGTCAGAAATGTCCCATTCGGTTGTATTGCCTCTTGATGGAGTGTCTCTGTCTTGGCTTGAGTTTGATTTTTGAAATTGGTTGAGCAGCTGATTTTTTTGGAGCAAACCAGCAGCACTCTGGGGTCAGGGATCAGGAGCCATGTTTGGTAAAACAGAGGTTGCACTATACTGTATGTGACGCCAAAGACAGGGAGTTCTCATGTTAGGCGTATCGAAGGGTTCAATATTTTATTCGGCCTCCCAGAACGGTTTCAGGAACCTTTTTCCCTGCTGCATGGCAAAACTCAACACAGTTATATCATTTTCAAATGGGGTTTTAAATCCTATGTGGAACTTTATTTGAGACTACTTCACTGACAATAATTCTTCCTGTTTTTAACTGAGGAATCTCAATCTGTAAATAGGTAGTTTAAGAATAACAGGGTTCATACACTTTTTCACCAATGATTTTCAATGACTTTTCCATGACTTCTCCATGACCTATAACCTAATTTTCCATGACCAAAAACATTACTCTTTCTCAGCGGTACCACTGAAAATTGTTTATTTTAAAATGGAACAGGAAAATAAGGTCTGCATATGAAACATGTTGTGCCTATCTAAAAACAAATCCAATAGGCTTACTAGCTTATATACGCTAAAGCAACTAAAATCTCTCACCAGCAAAATACCTCGTCAGTTAAATGCCATTTTACGTTTCATTACTATACGATACAGTATTTATTATCATTATAGTTATTTCGGCGAACACCATGACGTTATTCTGCTGTCCGTCAGCCTCTCCTGGTGTCAGCCTCTCACCAGATCAACCACAGTAGTGTTAGTTTGGTTGAGGACTGACGGAGACTAATGCCAGAGAGTTGAGAGCAGGGGCGGATCTACGGGGGGCAAGGGGGGGGCAGCTGCCCCCCCCCCCCACTGTAGAGCCTGCCCCCCAGCTGCCCCCCTAACTTTTGTTTCCCTAAAACTGTACTAAAACAAACCTACACTATTTCCACAAGCTTCTCAAGCAACAAAACAAGCATTACATTAGTTAAATTGAATCATTTAAAATATCATTTTAGGCCCGTTAAAAACGCAGCTACGGCCTGCATTAAACTGCGGAGCGGCGTTCACACAGACCGCAGCTCACACAGCTGCAGAGAGGGAGCGAGCTGTCCCAGCACCTATGGATCAGCTTCCCCTGGGAGCATTTCCCTTTCCACTAGTTTTGTTTTTACTAAGGACGAGAGCTTGAAACTAAATATTAATAAAACGCTGCCGTGTTTGAATCGATAGCGTTTAACAGACGTGGCGCTGTTTGGGGCGTTACGTTACAAAATACTACGCAGACAGCGTTAGCTGGGAGATCGATCACTTTGCTAAACTACGCGGTAGCCTACTATTAATCCCACGTAAACTACACATCACAGCCATGAGGCCAGATCAATGAAACCAGGATACATCCTTTACCGTAAAAACTGGATCCAAACACAGCTTCATGTGTGCGCTTGATCAATACTTTTCTGATGTTATATGATATGCTACATATTAGCTAGGCTACATGGCCCTAACGTGTAAAAGTTATACAAGCATTTGTACCAGTGCTTTTCACAAGTAGACTATTGCAGGCCAGAGTATAGGAGTGATTCAACAACAACACAAAGACATATGAGAAGTGATCAGGACGAACAGAAGAGGAAAAGGAAAAGAGAGCTGAAGAGACCAGGAGGGTCAGAGCAGGAGGAAGAGGAGGAGATGAAGAGACCAGGAGGGTCAGAGCAGGAGGAGGAGATGAAGACATTAGTGAAGAAGAAAGAAATGTATGTGAGGAATAAAGATGAAGTGTCAGAAAGAGGGACAGAGGCAGGGATCAGGAGGCAAGAGGAGACTCCAGCTGGGACCACATGGTATGTTCTTATTCTACCTTACATATTCCATTACAGCAGCTCAATCTAGCAGCTCTTAGTATTGACAAATATTGATTGAAATGTGTTGCTGCACAGGTCACCTTCAGCTCTCTGAAGAGATGGGTGATGTCATTTGTGTACTTAATTATAATTAAGTACTTACAGTATGCAGAATTCTGAGTATTCTCTGAATCGGGTGCCTTTTGGGTCTTTATATCTTTGAAAAATGAAACCGAAATGTTTTGGTCATAACATCTGGTAGTGGACTACTTACATTTTCCCACCTCAGGCACAAAATATAAATAATTACTAGGAATTTCCTTGAAAAAATAAGGGTTGAAGTTTTTGACAAAAAGTAGGCATGAGACCTTGTTTAGCTAAGATATGGCACCACATGGAAGTCAAGGATATTACAAAATTGTAATATTTTGCAAAACTATTGTTTATTTTTGTAATAAACAATTATTTACTATTATTATTCATATAACAGAGTTGAAAATGTTGAGCTTGTCAATCTTAATCTGAAATACAAAAACTGAAATATAGGTAAGAGAAGAAACTGACACTTTTGTGATGTAATTCCCTCAATGCAGATCACACATGGACTGATCCATTATTTTAATAGGAGGGTAAATGGTATGGCGTGACGGGGTTGAAACAAACTGAGGGACAATATTGCAATTTCATAGATAATTCAAGTATTTTTTCAGAATTGATTTTTGATCAGTTAAAGTTGACAAGCATATGATTATATTAGCAGCAACATTTTGGGATAATTGGCCATTTTGATTTGTTTGATATTAAATTAATATGTAATAATGCTTAGTGAGGACATGCAAATATGTCTGTCTAAGACAACCAATTTTTTAAAAAACAAAATATATATTTAATTTTACATTGTAATGCAAAACAACCTGTTCCATTAATTAATTGCTTTAAAATACATTTTGTAGTTTCCTTTCATTTAAAATGGTTGAGGTAAGCTTGGGGGACTCAAAGGGCACCCGATTGTTTGTCTGAACACCTTGTTTCTCTTGTGCATTAAGAACACTTGTGTTAGGGCATGAATTAACAATAAATAGGTTATATACAGTATAAAATACCACGTACTGTCCGCCCTCCTATGCCACCCTGGCATGACCTCTTGCCTCCCCTTTGCCCCCCCATGTAAAATGTTCTAGAACCGCCACTGGTTGAGAGGACACTATTGTTAATACTGTAAAATAAAGCTCTCATCTAAATAAAACTCAAGGCTTCAGTATCTCACATAAACTAGCATTATGATGCCTGACGATGGAATGAATCACCAGCAATCCAAGCTGGTTTAAAAGGGGACCTATCATGCAAAAATGCCACTTTTGTACGTCTTTATACATGAATATGTGTCCCCGGTGTGTCAGGGAACTCACCAAGTGTCAGAAAACACACCCCTCCTCTTTTCCTCCATACCCAAATCTCTAAAAATGGGGGCTGCAACGGATCTGATACAGACTGATCCAGATTTCAAATTGAAACGGGTGCTCCGCCTATATGGGCAACTCTCCACCTATCAGGGGAATGAGAGGTTGCGTGGCATGGTACAGCATGGTAACAGCATGGTAACAGCATGGTAACAGCATGGTAACATGACGCTCGTGCCTCGCCCCCAGGAGGTCAGCTGCAGCTCATTTGCCACAGAATCAGCCCTTGTGAAGACAGGGCTGGAATAGAGCGAAATGAGGCATGGCTAAAATGCATGATCTGTTTGGTATTTTGAAAAAAAAACTTCACAGACATGTTTTATATAGGTATGGCCCTACAATATATGTTTCAAATATAGCATGATAGGTCCACTTTAAGGTACCATTCTTTAGAACACGTCAATGATTCTAAAAAACACTGTTTACTTTTACTGATGTAGCAGGATATCTAAAGATCCTTCCATCAATGTTTCTACTTTGGGTGGATTAAACCTAATTCAATAAATTAACAATTGAAAATATGCTATCTGATCTGAATTAATATGAAATCCCTGCTGAATCCATTTGTATTGAATCAACATTGAACTGAAATGGATGTGAAATGTATCTTTAGGTTTCTGTAGGTTCCTAATTATTCATCAAGTCATTTGAGGATAGATACACAGAAGGCTGTAGAGCTCAAAATGGTAATTTCAACCCCCTAAATTAAACCCCCTACAACATTTATTTTCACCAGCAACAAAAAGTAAATCTGCATTTTTAACTTCAATTAAATGTAATGCCAATTGTATCCTATCACATGATACTCAAAATCCATTTGCAAACAAGCTGTCAAGAATATCATTCGGGTAGAGAAAAAATGAAATCGATTTTAATTGTATTATATTAAACTAAATTCGTTTTTTTTCTTTCTGAAGTAAAGTGAAAGATATGTAGTCTAAAAATAATTTGGGCACTGGGCATTAAATATGAGCTCCTGTGGTTTTCCTTTTTCGTTTGTACTACAATTGTTTTATTTTTCTGGGATAACACTTCACTCAGAGCTGCTCTCTGACACGGAGCCTAGCCTGTATCATGATTCATGACACAATACAATTCCAATAATGACACCCCTGTCCACATATTTTGGCCAAAGAGTTATCCATTGTTTATAAAAACAAAAGGAGGCCATATGGAAACCATCTTTACAGAAATGAAAGACCTGGCTGATACTTGATCCTTCCTATTTCAGCTCTCTGGCTGTGCCTTCACTTCTCTTTTAACAGCCTGTGTTAGATTAGATTAGGATTAGAGCTCACCTCCAGTCTGGTGCGGTCCACGTCCCTGGGAAGCTTCACTTTCACTCTATGCGTCACTGCCAGAACTTCATAAGGGTAGATCTGGCACACAGAGAGTAAGCATTGTGGGAGATTTATTAGGCTAAGCAGCCAAGGCTGTTATTCGTAATGTATTACCAAATGAGGGACATTTTACCTTGTATTCTGAGAGGCATGAAAAGAGAGAAAGAGAGAATTAGTCTGCGGGAAAAAAACGTTTTTATTTGAAACGCACACAAGCGTACACACACACACACACACGCGCACACACACACACACACACACACAACACACACACACACACACACACACACACACACACACACACACGCGCGCACACACACACACACACACACACACACACACACACACACACACACACACACACACACACTAATAATTCTGCAGCTGGAAAGATGACATCATCGCCCACATTGTTACCTCCAGTAACTGATCTGGAGCCAGAGCTGCAGGGCTCTGCGTGATTGGTCACAATGTAATCAGGGACTGTAAACTGAGCTAAGATATGTACTAAAGGAAAGATGACACAGGCCGTTTTACATTTTATGGTTTAAGATTATTAAATGATACTATTATCTGGAGGGAAAGGGTCTCTTTTTGGGGCTTGTAATATATTGTGAAATAATATTTGGGAGTTCTACTTAGTGTTTCTATAATAAACATCCATTTATTTGTTTGCTAACAGCTATAGGAAGTTTAAGACATTCAGCACTTTTACTATTGTTTTTTCATATCTGGGTCAGAATTTTTAAATCCAAAGTGTCAAAAAGATTAGAAAGTCTACCGTCCAAATGTCTGCAGGTTTTGCAGTGTGTGCTTGAGTGTATAGTATTTTACATTTTCAATTGAAGCACTGTTAGCACTAAAAAAGCTTGCAAATCCTACCATGAGGAGGAAAATAACACAGAAGAGGAGATAAACATTGTGCATTGATTTTCACTCACCTCTCATGCCTCCCCAGCTTTGGGAGTCTGGGTCCACTTCATCCTCCATCATCTCAGCAGCCTATAGGAACACACACACAAACACACACACACACACACACACACACACACACACACACACACACACACACACACACACACACACACACACACACACAACACACACACACACACACACACACACACACACACACACACCACACACACACACACACACACACACACACCACACACACACACACACACACACACACACACACAGACCCTTCAGACCTCATTCACATGTCCTGGCCCACTTCATGTTGCCAAGAACAGGTCTTCATCGTCAGTTTCACTGCTTTGCCTTTGCTTTGATCCCATTCTTTCGGGTTGACCAATAGGAAGCCAATATGACACATTACTCTGATAGTGAGCTTACATTTCTTAGTTTGGAGTAGAAGGGCAGAACCCTTTCTCACCCTTTGGTATGGTGAGCTTTGCAACACTCCCCCATGAAAGATTACAGGCTATCTCAAGGGGCACGACGGGCTGTTTGTCCGGTCACCTTTTCTTAGTTCTGAGAGGTAAGCGTTTTTCTGATTCTAATTGTTTCTGCGTTGTGCATTGGTCTGTGTCTTCCGTTAACATTTGTTCAATTCAAATGTTAAAGAGTATTTTTTTAAAGATGTCAAAACTCTGTTTTTGTATAACTTTATTAAGTGCACTTGCCCAGTAAGTGGATGTTTAATGGAAACTTGTTCAATAATGTATGACCATTTCTCTACCAACACTGAAAACAATACAAAATAAAAATCCCATTATACCTATTCCAACATACATGTCAACAGTGTCAACACACTAACCAGTCATTAAACAATGAATCTTTTAAAGATTTGACACAGCACAACCTAGTGGTCGCAAACAAAACTTCCAAACACCTCAGCCATTTCTCTGAAGAAGCAGCCAAATATTTACATGTCCTCTTATTGCAACACTTCTGGATCAACCCAGACGCACCTCATTTGCCTGAGTCACAAAGGTAAGGGTCAATCTACAGCAAAACTTGCTGTATGCAGAATGATGTAATTGTTGAACACATCTGGAAATATGAATGATGTATAGTATATTTTATTTTGGGTTGTATATGAGTAGCTCTGGCGAGGGTTTTTTGGTCAATTCTGATGATCAAAGTACATGCTGGGATCCAAAGGGTAAGATTAGCAGAGAGAATGTTAACAAAGTCCCAAGTAATTAAAACACATTTGTGTGAAGTGCAACAGTAATTGTATTACCCATCTGTGTACTGCTCAATCGTTCTTCCAATATTAAAATACATTTTTGTCACGAAAGTAGCAATAGAGGCCCGTGACTGAAACAAGTTATTTTGCATTGATAGTTTTCGGATGATCAGTTAAAGGAAGTGAAACGTGCAATATATCCTTTGGCAATTCTACTGTGCAATAACCATCATAATTGTTTTTGTGCAAAAGATAATTTTGATAATACCTCAAACCTTAATACGTTCATGTTCACTTATCTATTAAATGCTGCTACACATTTGTTTAGGCATGGATTAGTACTTTATTGTCTTTATTTAATTTGTGCTTTTTCTCTATATTTAACATGTTAGCTACTTAATAATTGCTTGCCTTTGTATCTGCTATGTCACATTTGCTGTGGTGCTGTAAATGTCCCGCTGCGGACTAATAAAGGGATTCTGTTTCTGGAGCACCGTGGACCGTATAAAGTTCTCATTTCCTTCTGCAGCTGCAGCTCACCTTGTAGATGCCATTCCTTCCATAGCCAGGTAATGATGCAGTCTTATTGTAGGGGAAATCTGATAAATAAACACATCCATACACATGAGCTATCTATCACTGGATATTGTTGGATTCTTGTTAATGACAGCGGGCTGAATTTGAGATATCCTCACTGGGCTGCGAGGTGTCGGTGGGCAGACTGCAGGTGGACTTGCAGGGGTCCAGCTCCTCAGGGCCCATCTGGCCATCTATCTCACTCTTTAAAATCATCCAACTGGTCCTCTGTGAGGAAGAGAGACGGGGGGGGGGGGGAGAGATGGAGGTGATGGATGATTGGATTATGGCAAAGTATGAGTTAATTCATTAGTAAATGGATGTAAAGTATTTGTAAAGTTTAGGAAAATGACTTGAATAGAGAAAGACAAAAACACGCATCCGCACGTAGACCCACCTTACTATCCTCCCCATCCTGCCAGGATGTTCTAGAAGCTGTGAACACAGTCAGATGTTAATGTGCTAGATCACACATTGAGCAGAGTTTCACTCAACAAGTATTTCAATGGAATTAGTAAATTGCTATGAAATCAACAACACCGACCATTGCAACATTACAGACGGTCTAATCTATCCTGGGTTTAGTAATCATGGCAATCTGTGCTACTCAGCAAATAGACTCTTGTACTTAATGTGCTGTTGCTTGTCCACTACTATCCAGTTAGTGTTACGGAAACACGTAACACTAAACAATGCTTAATAACACAATTCATAAACTGTCTCATGGAATCAATAAATCCTGTAGCCGACACAAACAAATCTCAAATGATTCCTCTCTGTGAGGAATAATAATGACACAAAAATATCCATGGCTCTCAATCCAAACAATGTAAACTAAATTGCATTAAAGCGTGGAGCACCTTTCGTGTCAACATTATTCTAATCTTTGACATAAATGACCAGTTTAAGAGAACAAATTATTTGGACAGCATGATTTTCTTTGCAAAAATTAAGCTTCCTTTTATTTATTTTGGTCAATGGTAATGTCTATGGTGATATGATCCACTAACCAAATACCTGCTAAAGCATTAGCACAAATGCTACACAGTTTTAGCTAAATCACATTGGTAAAAAAACAATGATCTTTTATCAGTTCATAGCTTATCATTGCCCCACACAAATAAGTGTAGTCCATTGTCCATGTAATGTCAATTTATACAACTCCAAGGTTAAATCATTAGATACACTCTTAACCTTGGATAGGAAGATACATAATACCCCCCCACACACACTTTTTGGCAGAGAGCACACACCTTGTCCAGTGACCTCATGTCTGCGTGTACACACTATCAAGGTGCTGACAGCAGTTGTATCCATCTGTAGGACTATGCTGTGTGCAGCTGATTAACCTGTCATATCCAATCAAGAGGAATGTTTACTCGGATGATGTAGCTGATAAGAGATCTATGTCAGGATGTTTTGAGTAACCCTGTCATGTGAACACATATGTTGAGGGCAACTACAATGAAAAGTGCTCATCATAAATTGTCACACACAAACAATGGTGAGGGAAGAAGACACATGACCGAAACAGTGACCGGTACAACAGTGATGCCACCATACAAAGGAATCATGTGCTCAACTCCTCACAGTGGAACACACAGTCATAACCATCAAATGGGCTGGTGAGATGAGTGCAGAGACATGCATGCAAAGGGGGGGGAGGCACAGTTAAGAGCCTTTCTCAAAACTATTTGAATCTGTCTGGGGCTCTATGATAGCCTACTTAGCTGAACTTAAGACACTCAATTAAGAAGAAAGGGGGGGAACTACGAATGTATGTGTTTTTAGGTTTTCTTCCTTGTGTCTCTTTTTATCTGTTTGTTTTTGTTATATTAATTTTTTTATTTATGTATTTGTTCTGTCTTTGTATACATGTATGTATGTAGGTACGTGTATGTATGTGCATGTGTACATGTACACACACGTATGTGTATGTGTATATGTGGGTATACATATGTGAGTATATGGGTACATGCATTACCCTTACTATTCTTTATTCCCTTATCTATACATTTTCTTTTAATATTATCTTCTACAGTACATTACTTTACTTTTAGAAGAGCCTTTCTTACAACCATCAGTCCCAAATGGGTTTGATTATAACAATCTGAAATCAAAGTGTTGCTGTATTGCCATGTCAGATCAACCCTTGATATTAGCTAGAGGGAGGAACTGGGCTCCCTCTTATTAGGCTGACATTGAGCCAACAACTGCGGCTGCACAGGCTTCTAGAAGCAGAAATGTTCAATCATGTTAGAGTCTGGCACAACTTCAATTGATAATGTCACAGAAAGTGTTTTGCTAACTAATGCAAAACATCCCTGGTGACATCACTAATTAGAATGTGGTTAGAATTGCAACATATGTGAATGCTTCATCCTGTGGGGTCACCAGAGCTATAGTGGGTTTAATACCCTCGCTGCAGTGCTCTTACACCAGCCCTATGCATGTAGCTCCATGGATTCTACTGAAGGAGAAATAGATGAACAGGGATAATCACGAGGTGCTGACGGCAGGCGGCATGCAACACATCGTGCAGAGACCAGACCAGAGGATGTTAGGAGGGAGGAGACTGTACCATGCTGTTTGTAGATGGGGGGTTTTCTATAGATATTATCTTTGACCAGAGTCTCTGAAGATGTGAACAGACGCAGAGGAAAGAAAAAGGAAGAAGCCAACATGAGAGGGGGAGAGAGAAAGAAAGAGAATGGAGAAAAACAAGCATGAGTTAGCCGTTTTGAGGGATGAGGTATTTTAAAACAAAGTAAAAAGGGGCCGCAGTTAAAAATCAAGACATTTTTCATTTTTATAATTGCAAATCAGACACAATATTTTTCATGCAAAATATTCAAAAATATATCAATGATATTGGTCTCTGAATTAGAGGTTATTTAATGCAAAACAATTCAATAGTATAAGAAACCACACATTGTCCCCATCAAACAGTATTAGCATTCTTTTTAGATTTTTGAATAAAAAAAGGCCCCTTTTATTCTAGTTTATTCTAATGTTGAGGACCAATGTTTTATGTTAGAGATGTATATTACAGGTCCCTAGCACATAGACAACTGCCGGATGTGCATCTAAAGTATTTCCTTTTATCCAATTCCCTCTAGTTAGAAGACACATTTGGTAGAATTATTTTTTCAAACTTACCCCTTGAAATGCTGTTTGACCAAATCATGGGGCAACATACCAAGTGCTGAGGACACACATGGGGCTAAAGGCTCTGTTTCTATGCTTCTACAGTCTTCACTCATACAACCCACAAATACCAAAGCTGTGGCATAGCAGTTGAAGTTTATAGTCATGGAGAAAGGGGTCCAATGAACAAAAAAAAAACTCATATTTGTGAAACATCTTTTTAAACTGCCAAGGGTTGACGTTTGAACCAGGATTTACAGAGAGCTTCTTATCTTTCAGTCACAGGTCAGGAAATAATGCTACTCGGTAACCTTACCTAAACCTAAGTATCAAGTTACAAAATAATACTTACATTTTTACAAAAGATTGTTATAGTTAACAAATCAGTTGGCAACAATTATTTTGCGAAAGCTTGTATATTTATAGTAAATTGTTACAATTGTATAGCTTACCTTGTAATTCATCTCTATATTACTAATGTCAGCCATATAATGTGTTGCAGGAAAATGAGAGAGTTGCAAGCCGAGCAGTGTGGTTGTTGCCTACCTGGAACGTGGAAATGCCGCGGAGCAGCCACATATGTCGAGGTAGAGGAAGGGGATTTGCCATCAGAATAGGTGGATAAGCTGGGGGGTGCTCCGCCCACTCTCACTGCCTTCAGGGGGAGGAAGTTGGGTAGGCATTGCAGATGAGAGGCAAAAGGGAAAGGGTTTGGATAAAACAAAGGGTGTTGGGGGGCAAAAAGGCAGCATTATGGTAGGCAGATCCTCTTGGAGAGCCCCGAGCACCAGGTGAGCACCAGGTTCACTTGAATATTTTACACTACAAAGTCATGACATTTTTGTGTATTATTATGATTGTCAATAGGATAACGCCAATAAAGGTAACCCTATGTGTTATATGACATGTGTCTAGTTTTTGTGTTTGTTGGGAGTGTGAGATTGTTACATTCATTAACATTTAGCTGACTTCCTTTATGTGTTCCTATTGTTACATCACAGGCAGGCTAGGTGATGAAGGCACTGGCACCCTTAGGCCAAAAGTAATAAACACTCTACATCCAGTTTAGAGAAAGAAACAGCAGAGAGAGAGTTTAACATTGTGCAGGAGAGCGAGTGTTAGCTGAGAGAAAACACACTCTCCCCCCTCAGACAGAGAGGAACCATCAGCAGAGATCTTGGATGAGATCACTTACATACACAGCAAGGCTGTTAGTGTTGGTGACTGATCTCAACACACACACACACACACACACACACACACAACCACACACACACACACACACACACACACACACACACACACACACACACACACACACACACACACACACACACACACACACACACACACACACACACACACACACACACACACACACACACACACACACACACACACACATCACCGTACTCTTAGTGCAGGTCTAAACGATGGGCAGATCCTCAATAAAACATCTGGAGCGATATGGAGCCTGATAGGAGTTGTTCGAGGCTTTGGGAGTTTAGGGAGGAGATGTGTAATAATTTATGTGAGCAGATTAAACATTCGGAAAAAGGTGAAAGCCAATAATTAATCAAAACCTTATAACACATTCACAGAAGGGGGAAGAGAGTTTTGGGTTCATTAACAAAAAATAGGAGAAGTAGGGAAATGATAAAAAAAAAGCATGCATTATTCAGCCTTGCAAGGGCATACACTCTCTCAAGTTTCCAAATGATACAAAACAGCTCTAGGTAATTATTTCAAACAGTTCAGTGTGTGTTACTTCCATATGTATCGCCGGATGATAAGAAAATGGAAATCGGGCTTATTGCCCACTGATGAAAACACTTGAATTGAAGTAGTACAAACTGGGAGTCATGCCCTGGAAGAATCACAAACCGGCATCAACGCTTCTTGCCATATGTCAGAGAGATTGTAACTTTAAGTCAGACTCCCACAGCGCCTTCTACAGTATGACACTTATAAGGGGAAACCTGACAGCTCATTCAAGTTTAAGCCTTTTGTATAAAAACAAATCTTTTTCACGGCATGTAAGGAAAAGTTAAGGCCTTAACAAGAACAACGACCAATGTTTTTTTTATTCTACTGGAACTGGCAACCAAATTACTACTCTGTCGCTCAAGCTATTTCCTTTGTCCCTTTCATCTTTCCCATTGGAGAACTCCCCTCTCAGCCTCTCTTCACTGCTAAGGAAAAACCACCAAAACCCTTGAACGCGTGTTTGTGATTTTTCTGTGCAAAAGTGAAAGCTCCCACTCCTCCTTTTAATCCGCAAGATCCAAGCTAGCATATGTGAAAAACATGTGTTCCTACTGTAAGGGTTCTGTGAGTAAAAGCAAGGCTTTGGAACATTCTTGGTGCAGTAGGTACTGTTTGAAGTAGGGCTTTTCCTTTTAATTAGAAAAAAACACTTTATTTGTTTAAATGCATGCCTTGTACAGTCTTGTCAAACCCTGGACCTTGATTACTTTATTGGACTGTACTGAACATCCCTTTTCAAAGGTAAGGCTGTTGCAGCTCTGGAGGCAGTGGTCCCTTCAGACCAGGTGGAACATTACTTGAGGTAGACCTCTCAAAATAACAATGTAAAAATGGTGATTGAACAATCTATTTCAGGATAAAGCTATTTGGGTTGAAATTAGTTTAACATTAAAGTGACAGCCTTAACCTAATGTTTTAAAAATAAGTCGCTGAATATAGTCAAGAGAGTTGTTTGGCAATGTTCTTGTGCTTCTGCAAAAACAAGACCTCACCAATCATTATCTTCAGCCTCCCTGCACACCGCTGTCATTTTATCAGTTAACAAAACACAAAGCCTCAAATCTCGTTCATAATCACATCAAGGACAAAAGGACAACAAACGAGTGTTCATTCAGGAAAACAACAGGGCAGATCAGACAAAGGCAGGCAACAATGAAGTTATCAACCTCCCTCCGAATGCCAAATGTGTCAGGTTCAAGTTAAACCATGCAAAACAACCTCCACAGACACAAGTGAACAAGCAAAATGAGAACACTGAGTGGTCCAACCAATGTACCTCGATGCACCCAATGAAACCCAACAACACCACAATATTGGACAACAACATCACAAAACCTGCTTTCCATTCCACTGGGGAGGGAGACACAAAGAGGAGAAAGACTTCAGGGGTTTTACCGTTAGGAGGAGGTAAACTGAGATGCAGGGATGTCCTAGCTTTAGAGTCAGGGGGGGGGGTCCTGTTTGAACCCTGAAGGGATGGGCAGATCAGGGGATGGGGAGAAGATGAAGCAAAGGGAGGTGGTTGGATAAGCCTTTCTGCAGGAGTTACAGCGTGCAAGTGGAATGTGCACAGTACTGGTTTGTGATGTTGATTTCAAAGACGATCAAACTGTGGTTACCCAATTGCAACACAGCAGCCCAGGCCTTCCCTTTCTCCTCATGAGTAATGGGTCTATGGTGAACCAGGATAACTAATCTTGAGTGTCCAACACATGGTTAATTTGGTGCTAGACCCCAGCCCATGCAACGTGAAGTTAATTCAGTGGTCATATCACAGCACTCCATTCTTAAAGAACTTTGGTCGAATACAGAGAGGACTGATTTTATCTGCTGTAGGGAAGCTGTTTCCATTTTTCTAGTCCTTAATGCAAGGTTTGTACGTTTTCTTTTCAGCTTGGAGAACATATTAGAAACTGTGCTTTAGGGGCACTATGAAATAATAATAATAATAATAATAATAATAATAAGGATGACAGTTTTTGGTTTTGTCTAGGGTTTGACATCAAAAGAAGTTCTGACAAGTTGTCCACTGTCTGTATTGGACCAGATCTTGGTCAGTCTCCGCGTGCTTTGATACCTCTGAAGTAAGGGATGTAGTTGTGCTGCTGCAGCATGGCCAGGGTGGTGGGGTTCAGGTGATAGGACAAGCCTGCACTGCCCACTACTGGTGTGGGCGACAACTTGCCACCACCACCCCCACTCTCTTCAGCCCCAGCAGGACAGTGAGCAGGGACAGAAGGTGAGTCCCTGGCCACAGTGGAGGGGCATCTAATGGCCCCCACAAGGGTTGGAGGCAGGGGGAGAGAGCTGGAGTCTCGGGCCTGGCTGCTGGGTCTACCCCCAAGGCTTACCTCTGGCCCTGAACGTCCAATCAGATCAAACATCATCTTTAATGGAAGTTGGAAAGTATTGTGTATCTTTACAGTTACCTTTTTGTTGCAATTTAGCATGAAAATAAAAGCAAGACTGATGAAGTTAAACAATGAATGATACAATACATATTTAGATTTTAAAGCCTCTATTTATCAAGCTTAGGAAATTGCTGTATGACACATATTGCACTTAATTAATAAAAGATTCACCTGCTTTTTGCCAAATTAGCGTACTTTCCCTATTATTCAAGCCAATCACTCTTTAGTAAACAGCTGTCAAAGATACAGTATGTATTGATTTTGAGATAATGTTATAGCATACATTATTACAGTATTACTTTAGGTTCGGTTTTATTATACTTTATTGGCAAATAATCAAACTAAATCAATAAAGTAATACTGCATCTATTTATTTTGTATCTGCACACAGAGAAAAACAAAAAACAAGTCACGATGTCTACTTTGTGGTAGCTCTTAAGTCTTACAAGAAGCTGGAGTGATCAAGTCGTAGGTACAATCTGTAGAAGGGATTCTAAACTCTTGATTAAACTTTTGATAGATGATGAAACATATAATGAAGCAATGACAGGTACATATTTACAGCCTAAAAGCAGATATTAACTTAGCTTGACAACCATGCAGTTTTCAGAATATCCAATGGATTTTGACAGAGGAATTTAAGGGTTGCAGCTTTTAATCACGCAGTAGAGAAGCATGTCATTTCATTTCTGGTTTTGGGTATCCGGAAATCTTCTCAGAATACATGAGAATTTCATTTCGGATGTTTGTAGCAGATGTGTTCTAAATATAGTAAGCAAGCATTTTTCCCAATCATCTTGTTTCCTAATAAATGTGCATGTCACCTTACACAAATCATGGCTAATGCTTCAAAAATGCAGAATTCAAAAATTAACCTAGAAGTTTTCACAAAACAACAGCAATATATGGATAACGTCTCTGTGTAATGTGTGTGCACGAGGCTGGTACCTGGACGGCTGTAGTTCTGGGGGGAGCGGCACGGGGTGTAGCGTCCGTAGCCCCCCAGAGAGCTGTTGGAGCTGGGGCTGGAGGGCCTCCGCTGACGGGGGGACTTCTCCCCATCGCCCTGGAAACACAAACACATAAAGTAAAGAGGTCAGTGCTTTTGTGAAAAAAATAAACACCCTCACTCCATAATCACCCCATAATGGGACGGGTCAATCAAGGCTTACAAAGATCTAGGTTATACTGTATATACGGAGGTTAAGGTTAAAGGTGGGGTAGGTAAGTTTGAGAAACCGGCTCGAGATACACTTTTTGTTATATTCCATAGAATGCTCTTAACATCCTGATAGCAATGAATATCTGAAGTGCTTTGGCAAAACATCCATAAAAAAATGTCATCTGTGGAAGCTGTAGTACTGTAAAAAGCACGACCAATCATCTGAGCCGGCCCGGCTAAAGTAACTGGATGGCCTACCTGCCTGTCAGCCTTCCATCTGGGCACAAACTTATCTTGTGCCCTCATTGGTCCTGTGCGCGTTGTATGTGTTGGAGGAGGGGCTCTGTGAGGAAGTGGCAGATTTGTTCCGGTTGGGTATTTTCAGATTTTAGCGCACTCAAGCTGGTTTCTCCAAAATTACCTACCCCACTTTTAAGGTTAGTTTATTTGTATAGCACATTTTAAGACACAGAGGCAATTCAAAGTGCTTCACATAGGCATTTAACACATAATAATTAAAAACAAAACAAACACATACACAAAAACAAACAAATAAAAGACAATTCATAAAAGTGATAAAATACTGTCTGCAGCTAAAAGTGCAACGATAAGGCACGGTTAAAGGATCTCAGGATAGGCTGCATTAAAAGGAAAGGTTTTGAACCTTGATTTAAAAGAACCCAGGGTCGGGGCGGACCTCATCATTTCAGGCAGTTTGTTCCAAGCTTGTGGTTCATAAAATCTAAAAGCTGCCTCTGCAAATGTAGTTCTGACTCTGACAGAGAACATGAAGACAGACATCACTATATGTCATGTAAAGTTAGCAGTGGACTAATACAAAAGACCATTACACTCTCATCTTTACTTCAAATCTCTTTCCACTCATTTGAAGGTTGGCACACAATGCCAAGATATCGTAAATGTAAAAATCACTATACTTTGGAATAATTTCAACCAGAATTTCCCCTGACTAGTACATGAGAAACACGGTGCATTATAACTCATGTTAGGAGGACAGCACCTGCAGAAGGAGCTGTCAATATCTCCCGGCTCTCATTGGTTTTCTTTAGCTGTTTTCTCATCCAAAAGGAAAAAGTGAAAGAACAGTGCCCTTAGAAGAGAAGCTCTTCAACAGAGGCAGAGGAGCATTATTTTACTAAATTAAAGTTAATTAGTTACATCTGTACTTATGAATTAGGAGAAGAATGGACTGATGTTGGTGTCTCTCTGGTGTTTGGAGTAAGCACCTACACCTGTCAGCAATGTTTTGAAGCCCATGTTAACAAACAGGTGGATACTGGACCTTCAGATCCAGGGGCATCAACCCAGCAGAAGTAAGACGGCTAGGCATTTCGTCTGGTCGTATACCTCTCCCTCGTTAACTTTTCAAATTGAAAAGGAATAAAATGCAATCCCATGGTCCTTTTTTGTTTTGATGTTGGTTGTGGGATTGGCTGTTACAGCCGACGACACCACAATGTCAACCAACTATATTTCAAAAAAAGGGGAAAAGGTTTGCTCTGCGTACAGGTCAATGGGTTGTGTTTGCTTGTACCCTCCAAAGATGGCTGACTTTCTATTGATGACGTCACATTCCTATTCCCTATAGCAGTGTGTTTTTACAAATACAATGTTATCATAGCTGATGCCAAAATTAAGAACTTCAGACCAAAGTCTTCAAGAAATTACATTACATGTTACTGTGATTCTTTAAGCAAGTGAACATATTGGCCTCATTAGTTGAAACAGTGTTTTCTGTGTTGGTCATTTAAACCCCTATTAGCCTTTTAAGAAATCCATTCGCTGAAAAGATCTTCATTCAGAATTTTAACCCAGATGCAAGTCACCCCCACCTTCCGGACGTGGTGCATTCAATTACCTCAGAAGGGGTAGAAGGAAACAGCTGTGGGGACTGCAAACGAAGAAGAGGAGAAAGCCAATGATTAAGACAACTCATATGTTATATGAGAGTTATTATTGGCTTTTTGTGTGAGAAAAAGTCGCTGAATGACTGTTACTGACTTTACTGTCAGAGTGGGTGACAATGATGATGTAGGGATAGCTAAATTAAAATGAAAAACTTGTATCTATGTGGGATAGAAAAACCATGAAACCTTTTGGGTCAATTAAATTGCTTGAAAGAATAGAGCCATTGTCATCACTTGAAATAATGTGCATTAAAAATGACTGTATTCTTATTATATTTAAAGAGTATAGGGCCCTCTTGTGGCAACACAGTTGTGAAACTGCGATGCAGCCTTTCATTGGGTTGTACATACTTATGTACAAATTCTTAATGAAAGATGTCATAGACAATTTGAACTGTGTGGATTTTCAGAAAGAGATGTAAAGCTAGAAAGAGGAACTGAAAGAGGAATAGTTGAGAGCTGTGAGGGGCTTTACCTCTCCGTAGTGCCTCTCCTCAGACGGGAAGCTGACATACGGAGAGTAGGACAGCATGTCTGGCCGGTCGATGTTGTAGATGGCCTTGGTCTTTGGGAGGGCTGCCAGGTCCTTGTAGTCTAGCATCTCCTCTCCGAGTTTGGCCTGGCAGCAGAGAGAAGAAACACTCCTAAACAATCAATCAATCATGTTCTGGAATATTTGTTTTCTGAGAAACATGTATTGGACAGTACGACAGATCATTCGTATGCTGCAGGAAACTGAGCATCTCCTGCCTGGATGTGAGGAGTGTGTGTGAGGAGTGGATGTGAGGAGTGTGTGTGCAGTCTTACATAGATGACTCTGCTGGGGGAGCCTGAGGCGCTGGAGGCTGGGACCGAGGTGATGCTCTCAGAGGAGGTCCGGGTCACCTGACACACACATTGAATAGATGAGATGCACACAGGTTAGGCCAGGTGACAAAAAAAAAGAGTTATTGATCACCGTTTTTATCCATTAAGGGCATGCTTAAGATATTTAGATCTGATTTACACTTTAAATCTCCCATTTGTCTTGTCCTTTAAGCAAACATATTAAAGCAGTTCATTATGTACATAATCAGTTTTTTACCATTGTAATTAACAAACTAGGTTTTTGTTGTTGTTATCCAAAATCTAAAGTTACATCTTCCAACTATTCAAAACACTAGATAGATTCCATTTACTAATATATAAAGGTTCAAATGTTAGGTTAAATCTAAGTATCTACATTTTAAATCATTTTTTATAATTGTTTCCCACCAAAGAGCACATTTTTGTTTCATTATGTTGGAACAGCACATTTGTGTAGCACAGTGAATTATAATTAGTGAAGCTCTGCCTAACGTGGGATATCAATCAGTTGTGTTAAATCACATGTTGAAGGCCCTTTCCTTTCCTAAGGCCTCTGTTTCTGACCAGTTGTGTGCGTGTTAATCTCTTCATTCATCCTACAGATGCAGGTACTGAAACACATCACTCATGTTAGAGCATCCTGTACGTGCACAGACTGATGATCAGCATGGGACAGCATCATCAGTCACTGACCAATCAAAGGTCTTTAGACCTGCTGGCTGCTGCTACATGGAGCAGCTACAGAAGCATGCAAAGTACTTAGTGCCCAGCACTTAGTGCCAGCACTTAGTACCCCCATGGAACTAAATACAGATTGCGTTCGCACCGGAATAAGTTCCCTGAGGGAAGATAACGCAAATGAAGCCGCTGCCGTCACTTCTTCTTCTTCTGCTTTGGGTCTACTGGCAGGCCGCAAACCACTTCACGGCCACCCGAAGTCCTCGGCCCGGAAGTCCCCGGAGTTGGGGACTGGCTTCAGTAGAAGCTGCTGGGAGTCCCAGCAGCTTCTACTGAAGCCTTCAGAGTAAATCGCCAGAATGCCGACACCTCCTCATCTCCCACCGCTCCCATGTTTTTTTTGTGTTGCCATAAGTTAGTCTCTCTCCGTTGGTGCGCATGGCTAATGCTAATAATGCTAATGCCAGCAAATACAATGGCGGCTTCACAAAACTTTTCAGAGTTTTACGGGGCGTGGTTTGCAATTCGCCCAGCCAATCAAAATTGGTACTTTTTTCTCCTTACCACCTCTCTAGCAGGCACTAAAAATGGGGGTAAAAGTTCCGGAACTAAGTACTCTTTTTGGTGTGAACGCAACATTCCAGGCACTAACGGAACTAAACGGGAAAAGTACGAGTAAAAGTACTCCGGTGTGAACGCTATGGTGTCAGCAGCTCTGAGAGCCCATGCAGCAGATGGGTGGGGGTGAGGGGGTCAGGTGGGATGTTCACACCAACCTGCTGCTCAGGGACTTCAGTGAGCTGGATCCGGACCTGCTTCTGGGAGGGGGAGGGGTTACGATGAGGGGAGAAGGATGGAGATGAAGGAAGGGCAGATACTGGATGTAAAGCTGCAGGGTTCTGATGAAATGCTAAAACAATGGCTGTTGGTTCTGAACTGTAAATAACCCTCCTCTCTGCTCAAATCCTGCATGTGTGTACTGTTTGTCTTGAGGATGATCTTGTCATTTGAATAGCTTGGTGAATTTTTGTTAAATAAATCCAATACTAACATTAAAACGGCTGCTCTAATATTACTTTTATACTGTGCAGAATCCATGAATGAGTCATAGACTAAAATGTAGAAACACTGTAGTGTTGAATATAGACAGAGCACTTTAGTCCATGTCTGATGATCACTACATATCATTCAAATGTTCATTTAGTCTTTCTGACTATGACTGTGATTTACATTAGATCTCTTTTATATAAACAAATACATTTTAGACATTTAGCAGGCTTTATCAGGAGTCTGGAAAGTTGTTAACGAATTTCGATTAGAGAGGTTCAATTTAATTACTTTTGTGTCCTTAGCCAATAATTTGAAGCAATTTTCCTCGCTTCATTATTAGCTGTACAATTAAGAAACCCATAATATCTCTGGAAAAGTAATTATTTTGGCTCTTTGTTGTCTTCTCCACCCACCTTGCTCTTCTCCTCCTGCTTGGCTGCTTGTCTGCATGGGGGGTGCCATATGGAGGAGCCTGAAGACACAGAGACGTACACAGTAACTGGGATTATTCCCAACATTTCACCTGGGTCTAAAACTGGCCAACAAATCTGGTGAGACACTTTAAAGTAATGGTGGAAAAATAACTCAGATCAAGTAAAAGTTATAATACCACAGTGTAGAAATACTCTGGAATAAGTAAAAGTACAAAGTATTATCATCAAAATTGAAAAGTACCAAGTATGTAAAATGCAAAAAAAATTAAATAAGAACCTGCATAGAAACTGGTACTTAAACCTGAGTAAAGAGAACAATATTTTATTCCAAATTATAGTTGAGTAGAAGTATGAAGTAGCATAGAAAGGAAATACTCAGGTAAATTAAGTATCTTAAATATTTACTGAAGTGCAGTAATTGAGTTAATGTACTTAGTTACTGCCCAGCTTGTGAGAAACCCAACAACCAATCCCTGATCCCCTCTCTGGTGCCAGCTGATGGTCAATATCATGGATGGAAACTTTACTAGAATATTTTCTGTGTTTATGATTCAGGCCTAAAAGACTAATGATAACACTTTGATTTTTCACTTTCAATGTGTGCTTGGAGGTCATTAGAGGTCATTTAGATTTTTTTTGTTTAAGCTACTAGCATGGTTACAGAATCTTAGTCTTGAGACATAGAAATGTAATACTTTTACCAGAGTCTAGAGGGACTCAATTAGAAATGTTTTTTGTCCAACAATGGACAGTCAAGTGTTTTAGGATTCAACACTTTCCAGAAAGGCTGACACAGTATCTGTCTTGAAGCTATAGGAGCTATTAAAACATATCAAAGATTGGAAGCCTATTATTCTTCAGATCCAAAAACTGATCTCACCTTGCAGGTACATTTCTTCTCCCTCTGCAAACATCTGCTCACAGCGGGCACAGCGGGCACATGAGGGGTGGTAGTGCTTCTCTCCAGCCTGTGAGGAACAATCAAAAGCAGGTTCTGACCATCAGCACGTTGTTATGACTTGTTTTGCCTATAGGTTAATTTCTAAAAAGGAAAAAATTGTGCACTAAGATGTGGGAACAAAATCTAAAGTCGAAGAACAGAAGAGCATTCATTTGGAATGAAAAACAGGGTCTGACATAATGCAAATCAATAACATATTTGCATTCCCTGCTAGGGAAATGCTCGCCATTTTCAAATTCCCCCACACCAATGTTTCCTGTTAGATAACCAGTGTTGAGATAGCCATATTAGGTTGAACACTTAAAACGAAAGTTAGTTATAATCAATTATATTCTTGTATAACCCACAATGAAAATGCTTCATATTTTATGGTCTTCTATATTTACAGTATAAACAAAACACAAGTGGTTTGTTAAGTTGAGTGTAAGGCCTATTATGGTTTATGGGTGTCACTGATAAGAAAGAGGAGACAGTTTCTACCCTCACAGCAGTACACAAGGGGGGGGGCTCCTGACTTGTTGGAGAAAGACTGAGGCCCCAAAAAGGTGTTTGTGCCATAGCCGAGAATAATATTTTAAAAGTCCTGCACACTAGAGGCCATGCCCAGTTTCCACAAATAGGGGTATGGAGGAGGTGTCTTTAGGTTTTTCTGTCCTGTTTCGAGCATAAAAACACTAGCAGAGAGGGAGCAAACTCGAGCGAGGTTTTTTTTTTCCCTGGTATGCTCTCTCCCGGTAAAGCTCTCTCCCTGAGAGCTGGGTTTTCCTTCGGTAAGGTTCTCTCAAACTTGGTAAATATTGCTTACATTTCTGTTTATTGAATGCTGAGTGAATTGTTGAATGAAAGTTTGAAACTGTTAGATCCCACTGACCATTTACGAGGAACTGCCTCTGAATGTAGGTTTGAATGTTAGTCCTGGCGATCTGTGAGGAGATTCCTTTGGATTATGTCGGAAGACTTTAAAGTCTACATTAAATCGGGTTTATTGAAAGCTGAGTAAATTGTTGGATGAAAGTTTGAAACTGTTAGATTCCACTCACCATTTACGATGAACTGCCTCAAAATGTTGCAGGCTATAGGTGTGAATGTTAGCCCCGGCGATCCGTGAGGAGATTCCTTTGGATTATGTCGGAAGACTTTAATGTCTAAACTATGAATTAAGGTTTCAGATTAGAAAATGACCACCGCATGATATGTTTTATATTATTGTCATATTGTAACGAGAGAAGGTAAAACCCTGTTCAAGGGTGGACTAATTTTTCTTCAAATAAACTGATCCCACCTTTTGGATTGGGACAACTTGAAATACATCTGCGCTATCCTCTCCTGCTTGAAAGATAAGAAATGCACACTGCCACACTCAGACCATTTACCGGTTCTGTTTACAACCTCGATCCCTTCCGCAGGAGTCGAATCACGTGCCCCTGCGTGTTGTCTACATTTGATTAACCCCTTGACTGCCTCACAGTTTTCTGATGTTTTTAATGCTTCCCTGATCTGTAAATTAGAGGTGAACTGTGCTCTTAGTGTGGATGAGCTGATCTCCATGTTTGACTCGACATGTACACTAATATTGGATTCTGTTGCTCCTTTTACGCTTAGACGCACCAAAGTTCTCTCAGAGACGTGGCTCAATGACTGTACTCGTGCTCTGACACGCTTGCAGGCGTGCAGAGAGAAAATGGAAAAAGGATAAACTCCATGTCTCCCTAGAAATCCTTCGTGCTTGCCTTTCCGACTACCAGACGGCAGTCAAAACAGAGCACATTTCTCTGTTAATCTCCAAAAACAGCCATAAACCTCAGGTTCTTTTTAATGTCCTCAACTCTATCAATAATGCCTGTGATGTTTCTTCAACTGTGCCATCGACTACTCTCTGTGATTTATCGAAAAAGAATCTGCTCTTAGGCTAGCCCACACTAGTGCTACCCCAGATTCTGCTCCTTTTCTGTGCCCTGCTGTCCTTGGCCATTTTGAGCTTGTATCCCTCTCTTCTCTCTCGGATGTAGTCAAGCACCTGCGGCCGACAAACTGCACCTCAGACATCATTCCCTCTCGCCTTCTCAGAGATGTTTTCGAATCAGTTGGAGCAAGTATTTTATTACTTATAAACACCTCTCTTAGCTCAGGATGTGTCCCAGCTGCCTTCAAACATGCCATGGTGCAGCCACTACTTAAAAAGAAAAATCTCGACCCCTCCATTCTCGCAAATTTTAGGCCCATCTCCCAGCTACCATTTTTATCTAAAGTCCTGGAGCGAGTAGTCTATGCCCAGCTGCAGCCTTTTTTAACCATGCATGGCATTCATGAAAAGTTTCAGTCTGGCTTCAAACCTATGCACAGCACTGAAACAGCCCTTTTAAGAGTTTTTAATGATCTGCTCCTAGCCGCCGACTCAGGTAGCCCAGCTGTCCTGGTGTTAGACCTGACAGCTGCCTTCGACACTGTGGACCATAGCTTCCTGTTGTTGCGGCTCGAACAGTCCGCAGGCATCACAGGCATCACAGGCTCTGCGCTTGCATGGTTCAGGTCCTACCTGACAGACCGCAGCTTCTCAGTGCAGCTAGGAGCCTTCTCCACGGCCAAATCCCCTCTTACCTATGGGGTTCCCCAAGGCTCTATTCTGGGCCCCATCCTTTTTCTACTAGGTTCAATTCTCACAAAACACAACATCCCCTTCCATTGTTATGCCGATGATGTACAGATCTATCTGCCTCTCAATTCTAATGTCAACTCATTACAGCTATTGATGGACTGCTTGACAGAGATCAAATCCTGGCTGAGCCAAAATGTCCTCCACCTCAACGAGAACAAGACCGAGGTCATCTTTTTTGGACCCCAACCTCCAGCCTCTCCGGTTGATATTCTGGGCTCCCTCAATAAAAACATCCTCCCCTCTGTCATGAACCTTGGAGTGATCTTCAATAGCGCTTTTAAATTTGATAAGCAGGTCAGCAGCGTAGTCAAAACCTGCTTTTTTTTTAAAATACGACTATAGGCTAAGACCAAGTCGTTTTTATATTTTAAAGACCTAGAAAGGGTTATTAACGCCTTTGTAATCACAAGGTTGGATTATTGCAACGCTCTATACGTGGGTATATTCCAGGCGTCAATTAGACACCTGCAGCTAGTGCAGAACGCAGCTGCACGTCTTCTCACTGGGCACATCACCACAATTCTGGCCTCATTGCAATGGCTTCCAATTTGGTTCCGAATTGATTTTAAACTCCTTTTATTTGTTTTTAAAGCACTAAATGGGCTGGCTCCTGCCTATATAGCAGAACTCCTCCATCGCTACACCCCAGCCAGACCATTAAGGTCGGCTGACCAGCTGCTGCTGGTAGTGCCCAAGACCAGGCTCAAAACCAGAGGGCACCGAGCCTTCGCAGCAGCTGGCCCTAGGCTCTGGAACACTCTGCCCCTCCATGTGAGGTCGGCCCAGACCCTAGGTTTTTTAAAAAAATCAACACTAAATACTCACTTCTTCTCCCTGGCCTTCTAGTCAGAGCGGAGCATGACTCATGACATTTCTCTGTGTTTGATTTTTATATTTGCTGCTGTAATTGATTGTCTTCTGTTTGCGTTTGCAGTAATGTGTTATTTATTATTTGCATATACAGCACTTTGGCTCGACCAAAAATCATTTTAAAATGTGCTATATAAACAAAACCTGATTTGATTTGATGCAAAAATATTTGTGTTGTACTCCTGTTTTCACTTTAGAGTGCTTTTAGAACTTATAGTGTTATAATTTCAGTGCCCCACTCTCCATTGCTGTTTATGTTGAAAATAAAACCAAACTTTTCATAACCACAATATTTTTAACTGATTTAAATGCGGAAACTGGGGTTATTCATCAGCATTTCGTATGACTTGACTTGTGACTTGCTTGGCCTGAGCAATGACTTGACTTGACTTGCTTGACTCTGACCACAGTGACTTGGGACTTGCTTGAGACTTGTAGGTTAAGACTTGAGACTTGCTCATGACTTGCACATGTAAGACTTACTCCCACCTCTGGTAATTCCAAAACAAATATGTGCATTTGTAAAAAGTGAAACAATCTAATTTCAATGACAGACTTGCCCCATTTCAAAGTCCTTGCAAAACAAGTCTGATTATATAGAGGTCGAAGAAAAAAGAGCAAGAGAGAGAGAGACTCTCTGTGGACCAACACACAGCCGAGAGAATACTATGAAAAAGATGATAGCAGTACAAGACAGAAAGAAACGTCTCATGCTATAATTCAATAGCTACATTAGTCTCTCTTTCCACCTGCAAGTATTGTCCTTTCAATTCCATGAGCCCAGGCTGAGGCTTCTATACATCTGTAGTCTCCAACTTCACTGCTAAACTATTTATCTACAGTAGCCTACACAACTTGTTACTACAATACCCCACTTTGCAAAACTATTATCTCAGACTTGATGAAAGACATGTCATTCTCTGTTTATATTACTTCAATATTTTGATCCTGCAAATTACACAGTAGAATCAATAGTATACAGTATACTTAGGCTATGTAAGGGTAAAAGCACCAGTGTAAGTGAATACGTTTTCTGAACAAAATGAACTGTGTTTCTTTCTTTGTTTCTAGCTGCAGTCACTAGTAGGCTAAATAACTGTATATGACCTATATGACCTGACCTGTATTCTAGTTGATGAATTTATCTATAAATCCAGAGGCGCGGGAAGGTATTTTGAGTGGGGGTGCTGAGGTGCTGGACTCGAGTGAACACTATTACGGGCACTATAGAGCACGCACAAAAGCACTCCCCACACGCAAACACACAGGAAGGAGCGGACCTCACCTCCTCTAGGGGGGTCCGGGGGGATGCTCCCCCGGGAAGATTTGTTTTAAATATTGAAGTTAAAAGCATCAATCTGGTGCACTTTGAGAGCAACATTAAGAGATCTGGATACATCTCTCAACACCCAGATGAAACACAACTGTAAGCAGATGTTCTTTTTCTTTATGGATATTTTACAAATCACTCCGCTTTCAAACTGTATTCTTGTTTTACTGCCATATAGTATTTCATAACTGTTTTTCCTTTATTCTCTTATTTATAACTATAATGATCATATGAAGGTGTGCCGCGGAAATAATCTTTTGAATAATTTGTGACCAAACCGTTTGAGACCCACTGAGATAACTCTCAGTGGGTCTCTCTCTCTCTCACACACACACTACATGCGCTATTTCCACACACACACACACACACACACACACACACACACACACACACACACACACACACACACACACACACACACACACCACACACACACACACACCACACACACACATACACACACACACACACACACACACACACACACACACCACACACACACACACACACACACACACACACACACACACACACACACACACACACACACACACACACACACACACACACACACACACACACACACACACACACACACACACACACCACAGCCGAGCTTGAATGACACAAGCACACTTTTATTTCCATGATGAGGTTGACGTAAAGCACGGTTAATGTATTATATTATTGAGGTAGAATTGTCCGGGGCTACAGAATTGAATATTACACAGATTATGCACAGCGGGAGCAGCAATAACCGTCAAATAATAATTCAGACAGGGGAGCTCCGCACCCCCTGCCTGCCGCTAGGGGGTGCTGCAGCGCCCTCAACATCCCCCTTCCCGCGCCCATGTATAAATCCATCAATAATCATCACAATACATTACATTTAATTTGGCAGACGCTTGTAACCAAAGCAACAACAAAGAAAGTGCAGATAGATTCACCTCAAGCAAGTCATACCGTTGTGAGTGCTGGTGAATTAGTTACAGGTCTAAAAGTGCTTAGTTATGTGATGGTACCTCCAGGACTTTTCCGGTGATGTAGTTCTTGCAGCTCTCACACTGGATGCCAAACATGGCGTGGTAGTCCATCTCACAGAAAGGGATTCCATCCCTTAAGAAACACACAGTCAGCAGGTCAGTCAGCAGCAGATACAGAGTCGTGTCTGAGCGTTAGCATTACACACAAGGAAACATTTCATACGTGGTGCAAAGCAGAGATGGAGTACTCGAGTCCTGGACTCGGATTCGAGTGCCGATTTTCGGGACTCGGACTTGGACTCGTGAATTCTCGCGCACGATGACTTGGACTCGACTCGGACTCGACTCGGACTCGTGAAGTCTCGCGTACGATGACTTGGACTCGACTTGTACATTGACGCTCCGACTTGGACTCGAGCAAGTTTTCTCTGGAGTCTGATGTCCTCTATCCTGGCGTGTGCACCTGTGAGGCGAGTTCACGTACTGGGCCCCGCTATTCCAGTCTAATGATGTCTAGAGACACACCCCGCATCGTGCTGTATGCTTTCACACATTCTGCTTCCACATCGGAAAGGAGCAGCGCAAAATGCTCCTTATGTGGAAACAATATTGAAGAGAAGGCTCCGTAACACATTACTCTAAGGATCGAGTTCAGACATATAGGCTGTCTTGAACACTATCATCAGAGTAACGTGATCTAATCAATAAATAAAGATTCAGCTGATAACACGAAAGCACATGGCTACTTAACATGCAGAATGACATCATTTTGCATGCTAAGTAGCCATGTGCTTTCTGGGGCTCCATAGGAAAATATTGGCATACAAATGTAATCACTTCTCTAAAAGGTAACTCATTTTAAATATAGTTAGACATATTAAAGGTCATTTACAATAATAATAATATTAATAATAAGCTTTATATTTGTATAGCACCTATTACAAGAATTGTAGCCAAACTGGCTTCACAGCAGTTCAATAGACAGATTAGTATACATACAGGATAAAAGCAATGTAGAGGAGCAGCTACATTTCAACACATATCCACGAAGATTAATACATGAAGACTTGTGACTTGGACTCTTCTTAGGTGACTCAGACTTGGACTCGGACTCGAACACAGGTAATGATGACTCGGACTCGGACTCGACTCGGACACTCCTTGGGTGACTCGGACTTGGACTCGGACTCGAACACAGGTAATGATGACTCGGACTCGACTTGGACACTCCTTGGGTGACTCGGACTTGGACTCGACTACGACTCTCCCTTGGTGACTCGGACTCGAAGAGTGGTGACTCGAGAGTGACTTGGACTCGTGAATTGGTGACTTGACTACAACACTGGTGCAAAGTAACTAAGTATATTTACTTTTTTGACATATCTGTACTTTACTTTTCCATTTAAATCTACTTTATACTTCTACTCCACTACATTTCAGTGGTGAATATTGTACTCTATTTATTGTAACCCTCACACTTACTCTGTACATATAAAAACACAATTTGCTGATATGGTATAATGCAGTGCTGTACTACTTTTCCACACAGTATTTCTAGTATCTACATTTGGTCCACATTGAAGCAGTGATTGGGGTTGTGATTATGACTCTTTTAAGTTGTCTGTAACTGTGCTGCTGCCTATCTAGGGCCAGGACTCTCTTCGATCTATCCTGGTAAAATAAAGGTAAATAAAACAAATAAAAATGCTATATGCATTTATCAGGATAATATAATAACCATAATAATAGAATACTGTAAAGATCCATTTTGCATAACGAGTACTTTTGATACTTAATGTACATTTAGCTGATAATACTTAAGACTCAACTTAAGTTTATTATTCATATTTTCTATTTAGTTTAATATTAGTTTATACGTTTACTGAGTGACATCCAACACTAACCCTATGACAAGTAGTACTAGGTGTGATATTAATGGAGCAGTGTGCTCACAGCAGCTTCAGACTTACTTGCTGATGTACTCAGCATTGAGCACCTTGTTGCACACTTTGCATTTGAAGCAGCCGAGGTGCCAGTGCTTGTCCAGTGCCACCAGAGACTGTTCGTTCTTAAACTCCTTCCCACAGCCGCAGCAATCTGTGGGGAGAGGATAGCAGAGAAGAGGACATTCCAATACATATGACACTTAATAGTCTGCCAGCATTGTGAACCTGGAAATGTTGAGTTTTATGTCACAAATGTAAAGTAACTTGCATACTGTATGTTGGGCAATTTGCACGACTAGCATAAATTGCGTTAATTAGCATTATAGCCTGTGCAGACAATAGTTCAGAAATGGCTTGGCCGATCCGGACACTTTGGGAGTGGGCTTGGGATTATTGAGGATGCTGAATCAATTTCTGACAGTTTCAGGACTACAAATGCCAGTTTTACCCAGAGGGCTCTGTTTGTTCTCCCGGAGGGTAATTTTTAAGTTTTAGGGGAGTCTGGATTATTTGGATCAGATAATTGTCTCTGCATGGCAGTTCCTTCTTAGGTAATTTGGTTTCATGAACCAAAACAATTAAACTAGCAGTGGACATTTTGGTGTCCTGAGAAAAAGACTAAACGCAATTTAAGAAAGTTCCAATTTAAGGGATGGGGCACAACATGAGGATAACAAGCAGTGTGACGTATCATAGTTTGCAGGGGGCACAAGTCTACTTTTGGCATGATTTCTGTTTGGAGAGAAGGTCACAGGAGACAGAGACAGGGTCATAGACAGGGTCAGAGACAGGGTCAGAGACAGAGACAGAGACAGGGTCAGAAACAGAGACAGGGTCAGAGACAGGGACAGAGACAGGGTCATAGACAGGGTCAGAGACAGAGACAGAGACAGGGTCATAGACAGGGTCAGAGACAGGGTCAGAGACAGAGACAGGGTCAGAGGTAGAGACAGGGTCAGAGACAGGGACAGAGACAGGGTCAGGGACAGGGACAGAGACAGGGACAGAGACAGGGACAGAGACAGGGACAGAGACAGAGACAGGGACAGAGACAGGGACAGAGACAGGGACAGAGACAGGGACAGAGACAGGGACAGAGACAGAGACAGAGAAGAGACAGAGACAGGGTCAGAGACAGGGACAGGGTCAGAGACAGGGACAGAGACAGGGACAGAGACAGGGACAGGGACAGAGACAGGGACAGAGACAGAGACAGAGACAGAGACAGGGACAGAGACAGGGACAGAGACAGAGACAGAGAAGAGACAGAGACAGGGACAGAGACAGAGAAAGGAGACAGGGACAGAGACAGGGACAGGGGACAGAGACAGAGACAGAGACAGGGACAGAGACAGGGACAGAGACAGAGACAGGGACAGAGACAGAGTACTGACTGTGGACGGCCTGGATGGGTGCTGGGCTGCTGGCAGGGAGGGGCTCGGTACACTTCTGGCAGATACACTCCTTCCCGTTAAATGTCACTCTGTCGCCGGCGGGGAATGGCTGTCTGCAGACAGGAAGCAGAGGAGGAGGTCAGACTGATCCCTGTGTGCTGCCCACAGCTTACACAGTTTATCTGAGCCTCTGAAACAGAGTGTAGGCTGCTTCAGAGGCTGAGGAGCTTTAAAATGTTTCACTGCAGTTACAATAATTACATACACCCAAACCTGAGTGAGTTCTCTGATCTGAAATACGAAGTAAAAACTATTCTAATGTATTTATTACGAAGCAGCAACATTTAATTTATATATTTATGTACTTTAAATAACAAATGTAGAGAGATTTTGAGTTAATGAGAATAAGTATTACATTACTCAAGTATCTGCAAAAGACCCAGTGTGAAACATCAAATTGTCAAATAGTTATTTCATTCATTTTAGCTTGGAATTTATATGGACACCCCTTTTCCCAAATGTTTGTGTCCTTTGGTGACGGTGGTACACTTGAGCATCATGTTAAACAGAGTTTTATGTCTGAAGGCATTAAGACAAAAGAGTGTAGAGAGAGTAGAGCAGTAAGTAAAACAGTCATCTACATATAAGTGAACTTCTAAAGGTTTCGAACATCCGAACCAAGTTTGTTACTAACGTTTGAAAATGTGACCCCAGAACTAAACTGATTGATTCAAGCTTGGTCACATTAAGAGACCAATATTGAAGTGCTTTTACCAGCACATATTTTGTAATGCCAAATCCCTTTATAGACATTATACTTTTTAAGAGGAATATTATATACACAATGAAACAAAGTTAATGTCTCCTGGCTATGTATGTGCCACTCCAACACAGCTGAGCTGAGATTACAGATGATTCTTGTATAAAAAGTTAAAACAGTACATTGATTGATTTGCCCTATTTAAATATTCTGCATAATAAGCCTGTGTGTTTGGCTATCACAAAAGCAATATTTGTTATCAGATAAGAGCACAGGATTTTAATGATGACATCACAAACCTCAAAACCACACTGGAACATTGTGATCTCAGGTTCAGCATGGATATGACCAAGGGTATCACCAATGTATGATAGCATAGGCACATGCACAGCACTTTTAGGTCTTCTTGTGCATGTTTGCCTAAAAGTGTAAGCCATTGACACATGGAAGTGTGTCACACTGTGTCTTACTTGCAGGAGGCGCAGACGAAGCAGCGGGGGTGGTAGGTCTTCCCCAGCGCGGACACCACCTCCCCCTCAATGAAGTCCTGGCAGCTGAAGCAGCGAGTCCCATACATTCGCTGGTAGTCCAGAGTACAGATGTACTCCCCCTGACGCACGAAGAAGCCTCCCTGGGCCAACTCAGCTCCACATACTGTAGAAAGTTTGGAATGCAGAGAGGGAGGGTGGAGGGTTGTGGAAAGGTGAGAGGTAATGGGAAAGATCGAAAGAAAAATGGAAAGAAGTGTGAGAGAGATGAGACATTGGAAATACACATGCTTCCCTGTACATTTACATATTTAAGATAATTCCAAAGCAAAGCCATAGTGCAAACTAGAAAATGCATTTCCTGCAGAAGATGCGTGCAAATGCTGTAAACTGTGAACATTTGTGGCTGAAAATGCAGAAAAAGCTGAATATTTTATTAGCTGAATGGTAGCTGCTTTTAGCTACAAAAACCAAGTAAGTGTGTTGCTGACCTTAGCGGAGAAATGCAGAAAAGTGAAATGATGTGAATCAAAATTGTTACAGCTCAAAAGCATTGCAATTACTTTGTTGGAAACTTGAAAGTGAAACGTTAAACTGGAAGAGTAGGAAAAATAGTGAAGAAGCTTCATATTTAAAAGAAAAAGTTTAAAAAAGGTATAAACAACAACATGTATAGCCTCAATGTCCTGAAATAGCTGAATAAGTTAATAGTAATAAGAGCCGTCTATGCACAACAACTGCCTTATTAGGCCCATATTGAGCAGAGCATATTAAGACCAAAATTCATGTACAACAACTTCCTTACTTGCAATAAATAAGCACTAATTAGAGGGTTATTGAGGAAAAACTCTCAACTAATGGCTTATTACTTGTAGAATATGGTCATGTAGAATAAGGCATTAATAAGTGTTTTATAATGACTAATAAAGAGCCAATATACTGCTAATATGTTGATTAACAACTAGTTGATGGTTAATTTGTGTACCTTAATATAAAGTGTCACCGTTTTTTTTTGGGTTTTGTGTGTAAAATGTGAAGATGGGAGCAGTTTGTTTAAAGTTTACTTCTCTCTGTTCTGAAGAAAGTTCCGGAAACATGTAACATGGGAGTCTATTGGGAGCTAGGAGGTAGACTTTTTGTCACGCAATTGAGCAGGCCAGACTAATTAATTGCTCCTGAAATCTTTTGAAATTGTTTGAATAGAGTATATTTTGGCTCTGAGAGCAGTTTAAAAATATGTTTTCCGAAGATTTTTAAGACCCTCACTACACTCTAACGCACTCTAGCCCTGAGGAGTCCCTCCCATAGACACCCATTATAAAATCGAAAAGGCCTGAAAATGTACCAAAACGTAAACGTTGATAAGTTAAACACTGTAAAGGATATCAAAAATCTGAAGAACAAGTTTTATAGCTGATCATTTTAAAGTTGGAATGAAGTCTCTAGCTGAAAGTATGTGGAAGGAGTAGCATTTGGCGCAAGGTGTATGTAAAAGAGGATTTGAAGGTTCCTCCCATTGAGTTCCATGTTAAAAAAAGAGTTTAAAAAGCTGAATATAACATATTTTGAAAAAGTTGAAAGTTTCCCATCATGTGCTGAAAAGGCTGAATAGTTTGATATTTGAATGGTTTCTGTAGCTGAAAGTATGCTGAAGTTATTGAGAGCCAAAGTATTAGTTGAAATAAGAAGAAGAAGAGGGGAAGATTAAAGATTTGAAGAACTATAGTGGAATGCCTGTTGTATATTCACACAAAATATTACAACAGGCATCCATTTTTCCTTTCTTAATGCTTCTGCCTGGCAACAGGATATATATGTTATTGTTTTGTGTGTTTTGTCCCATGACAGTCACCACTTGGGTTCGAACTGAAATAAATTGTTGATGACTGAAGTGTCTTGATACTCTGACATCTACAGTCCACAGATGTCTCCCTTGGCACCACTATGAGGCTAATATCTGCTCTGTGTGAGCAATATAAATTGTGGTACAGATATTCAGGGTTGACACGTCATGTTCCCTTTCTATCATCTTCACGTCGAGATCCTCACCTGTCATCAGGGCACCTTTAATGGTGTTTAGTGCTAATCAGAAGCAAAGATCTGGAGCTCAAGCAGTGTAGTAGACATTAACATTTGTATTGTTTTATAAATTGGTGTTTTGTGGTCTTCCATTTTTCTAAATCTCCTATTTATGTGTTTTTTTAATGTATCATGGTCAGTTATAAGCTTAATGTTCCCAGAGCTGCTAGCATGTCTGCACCATAGACTGTTTATTGTCTGCATACACTTAGATTAGTAATCATGTTGGCCTTTTACCTTCAAAGAAAAACGTATAGAATTTGATCTGTACTACACTGCACTATACTTTTTGTACTGTGCTATACTATATTAGTTTTAGTACAGTATATGTATAAACTAAATCATTAGAGAAACATAAACAAACACACCCACATACAAATCTATTTATAGACATTCATTTGAAAAGCAGTTAAAAGAGGAGGGGGCGTTTTGGTGAGCAGAGGCAGTTTTACACATCTGATTGTTTTCCTAAGAAATTCATTTAAAAAAGGACTTTTAGAAGGAGGTGTGTTATCATGCATGTGTGTGTGTGTGTGTGTGTGTGTGTGTGTGTGTGTGTGTGTGTGTGTGTGTGTGTGTGTGTGTGTGTGTGTGTGTGTGTGTGTGTAGGTGTGTCTCTATTGTTTGGCTCTTAAAAACATATGACAGGAACTTAAAATCGCTGTCTCCACTTGACAACACACAGTGATTACACACAGTTACCATGGCAACCACATGACATCACAGACCAGCCACACCCTCAGGGGAAGTATCACTCTATCTTTCCACTCCTTTAGCAAAAACACAACCACTCCTTTATTTTCCCTTCATTCTTTATTTCTGGAAAAAACCAGCAAAGAGAAGATGTTTGGGTTGGTCAACATGCTCAGTGACTCCTCTGTGAACCTGCGTGTGCACACACACACGCACACACACACACACACACACACACACACACACACACACACACACACACACACACACACACACTTAGGTGGTGAGTCATTGTAAAACATGACGTGCAGTCAATGTCACACCTGAATAGCAGAAAGCACATAGCACATGTATATTTAACCCTGCTCACGCTGTCACTCACAGGCACAGTGGGGGTCATTGTGAAAGACGAGGTGGGGGCAAGGTCACCCCTATGTGAGGGCATAGCACATACATATTTGATATGACATGTCCTGTCTGTGAATAATGTCTATGGAGTTGTAGTGAGTGAAAAATAAATACACTTTTCATTTTTTTCCACACACACAAAGACACGCACACACACGCACACACACACACGCACACACACACACACACACACACACACACACACACACACACACACACACACACATATACCATGTATACATCACTTCAGGGGACATTACATTGACTTACATGCATTTCCTGGAGACTTATCCTAACCTTAACCATAACCAACACATGCCTAACCCTAACCCTTGCCCTAATCCTAACCCTTGCCCTTAACCTTACCCTAACCCTAAACCTAACCAAGTCTTCACCTTAAAATGAATGATTCCCCTCATGGGGACCTCCAATTTGTCCCCATAAGGGAAGCCAGTCCCCACACGTGACATGTGTAAACAGATTTAGGTCCCAACAAGTATAGTAATGCTAGACCACACACACACACACACACACACACACACACACACCACACACACACACACACACACACACACACACACACACACACACACACACACACACACCACACACACACCACACACACACACACACACACACTCAGAAACATCACACACTGGACAGGCTACCTCAGATGTGCCTGTATATTTAAATGTTCCGCAACCAGCTCCGGGCTGCTGACTCGCATTAGGCTTAATCTATTTTACATGAACTACAGATTCAATTCATTTGAAGGCCGTTGTATCCAATATGGTTATCCTCAGTGGAGGGCTAAACCTATATAACCTACATATAGTTAAAAAATAGCCATATCTGTATCTGATAGGGTCGCATACATATACTTAGAAAACGCTTTTTCAAAACCTTAAGTTAACGTAGCCGATCAAAGCTTCTTTACAGTTTCTATAAAACCCTTTTTTCAATTGACCAAAACATCTCAAATGTTCAGCTTTGTCCTAATAAACCAGCTTCAATGGAATGCCCTGAAAGTGCTAAATCTTTATTTAAAGCATTAATAATAAATGTTATCGCAGAACCATATAACAAGCTAAAAATCACCGGTCTGATATGTATATCACAAACAAACAAATTTGATTTATTGTATATTTAAAATATATGTAAGTTAAGTTTCTGATATGGACTGTATCAGTCCACCTTTAACTATGAAATTAATCTAATTTAAAAACAAACTTGATTACAAATCTGGCCAGTCAATAGCTCTCTGTCCTGTCAGAGTTTACACATTTGGTTTGGTCCCAAAAGTATTCAGGTCTGGTACCCAGAGCTTGTTTCAATAAAGGAGATGCTCCATATTATATTTACAAATAACACCATGGCAAATTTGTTGCACATCCATCTGCTCAAGCATGTACCTCCCTCACTTAGGCCCATTCCCAAACCGCCCCCTACACCCTACCCCTACACCCTACCCCTCCGTTTGCGCGTTCACGCGGAGGGTCCGCCATATTGAGAGCTGTTCCAAAGCAACGAGTGTGGAGGGGGAGTGGGCTATCAAGCCCTCAAACAGCGAGTCTGCAGCGGTGCTGACTTGAGACCGGTATCTACCTGACCGGAGTCACGCTGTGTGTGTCCGTCAGGAAACACGCTGTTTACAAGTAGTTCCAGCAAACATCCACTGATAAATTGCGATGTTAACAACCTCATGATAACCTCATATGTTTTTAACTTAGGATCATACCTGTGTTTAGTCTAGAAAAAGGTAAATGTGTGCATTTTATTATAAAGTTGTGTATATTTACAGACCGTTGCAAAAACTAAGAAGCTTATAAACATCAGGTTTAAAACTAAAAGAGCTTTGAAACACAATGAAAGATGTTTGGAGTTTTATTTGAGTTATTCATTTAAACTTTTTGTCAAAGAGATGCTGATTTGAAACCGTTGTTACATACAGTTACGGCATTTCCTGTTTCTGCCGGAGAGAGGGGA